TCAAAACGTGGTTACTGTTTATTTAACCATAGTTACGGTTTAATCAACGGTTTTAGCTTAACCAATTTTATTTGATGAATTTCGAAGAAAAAAATTAATTCGTATAGTTTTTTTATCGGTTTACCTAGTGTGTATAATAAAACGAAGAGATAAAATGTCTTGGAAGAAATTATTTTACTAGCTTGTAAGGGAAAAATACACCAATCCTCGATTTTTCTTTTTAGACCAATCGTCATTTTGCATTGATGACTTAAGTACCCTAATTGTTCCGGATCTGATCGTTAAATCTTAGATTGGGAAATCGAAATATATCGTGATCTTGACATTAATGATATTTCTCGTTTTTTTATTTTATTTACTTTGTTATGAATATTCAAGTCACAGAATGAGGACGTGACCATTTCGTTTGGTAACTATTTACATATTTGTTGATTTGTTGATCTCAATTTGGCCTTTAAGCACCTGTACTTTTGCTCTTCTTTACTGCAATCTCCAAGTTTCTTCTTGTCGTTTGAAGCTCTCTTGTGTAGTAATGCATTCTATCTATAACCATTGCTAGGAACAACACAGTTCCTTTTTTCACACACAAAATAAAAAAGAATAAAATAAAGCAATTAGTCAAGAAATATATCAAAACACACAAAATGATGTTTATGTTGTTATTATTACCCAAGAGGAAGGTCTCGAGGAGGCGATTCGCAAACATGACTTGATCAGTCGAGTTAGCTACACCACCAGATTCAGAGACCCTTGTGTTGATTTGAATCGTGCCGAACAGAACCGAGCCAAACAACACAAGCATAGTGGCTGCAACCGTTTTTGCAACCAATGGTCCTCGACCTTGCTTCAATAGGTCTAGCAATTTCACCACCGCTCTTCTCACAGGAGTCCCGAAACCGAGTGTTAAAATCAGGGCGGCTTCGATTGACACGATGGCGAATAGAAGCTGAAACATCTCTACGAACATCTTTTTTTAGTACATGGAGAGGTTTAGAGTGGATCGAATATACAAAATGGATTTAAGTTTATAAAAGTGTTGAAATTTGAAAGAGAACTTGGTGATGAGTAAAAAGAATAAGAAGTTGCTTGATGCAATGGACATGGATGATGTACAACTAAGCCTTTGGAATCGAATAAAATCATATACTTTGTGTGCTCTCAAGAAACAAGCGATTTTAACCTTTTTTTTTTTGTTTCGTAGTTCTGTTTTTATGATGAAAAAATAAGAGTGATTTTGTTGTAT